TATATATATATATATACAAAGATAGACTATACATATATTATGAATAAATATTATTTATATAGTATGCCTCTTTCATCAAACAACACAAATAGGATGACATAAAAACCGATCGATTCAAATCATTCTATCTATTTAACAATGAACAATCTGTACATATATTTTTCTATGTACATATCAGTTATCATTATATATTTCATTTCATTAGTGAATCACAAATTATACATTTCTTATTATATCGAAATGTAAAATAAAAATTATGATTTTATTAATTATTTTTTTATATTTATATATAAAAGACTGGCATTTTACAAAAATAAGAAAACTGATTCAGAACGCGATAAGTTAGAGTTATCTAAATGTAATTTTATCTAATTTCTAATAGTAATATAATCACGTATATTTTTCATATTCCGATTAAAATTTTGCAAAAATTTTTATGAATATACATGTATATATGAATCATTATTCAATTATAATAAAAGTATTATTCTTTTTAAAGGTATTATTATTTGCACTAAAGTTTAATAATTATACCATTTAATATTTTATTTGTATTTTAAAAGCATTTTGTATCTATTTCTCTTATATGCCATTTCTCTTATATAAATTCTTATCTAATTATTATATTATTTATTAATTATCATTTATAACTTATTTATTTTTCTTATATTCTTTTTTTATAAAAAATATATTTTTTTAAAGTACTCCATTATATTCAATGAAATTCAATTAAATTTATTTTTACGGACAACAAAAACAAATTTCAGATCATAGAATCGGATCTACCGGTGTTAACTCCCTAGAAATAAATTTGGCTGGTCGACCAATTTCAGAGCACCACGTACTCTTATTTTACATCGTTTCTCTGTTCTTAATACCGTCTACGATTTATTTCGGAAGTACTTTTTGGCGGCTTTTCAATTACCGATCGTCGAAATCGGTATATACTGATCGATCGTAACTTTTTGTAATTACTTGAAGTTGGTACGAGCTAATAAACTCGCAATTGAATCTAAGTTATTCATGCAATAAATACAATAACTAATATTTATTTAAATAAACTCAATGTTCTGCAAACATTTTTTATAATTTATATTTTTAGATAACATATATTATGTGTATATAAAATAGATATAGATATTATATATTAATATATATTATTAATATTTATAATATTTATAATATTTTTATAATATTTATTATATTTTATTATATTTATTATATAATATTATAATAATATATATTATTTATATAATAATATAATTATATAATATTTAATAATTATATAATTATATAATAATTATATAAATTATATAATAATATATATATTATAATATTTATATATTATAAATAACATTATTTATATTTTTTCAAATAAAGATATTTCTATTTTTTCCAATTTAAGATTTAAGAGATAGAAACTATTCGCACATTGAACAAAATAAATAAATGAAAAAGGAGGTTAAGAAGAAAAAATGTTGACATTGCTAACTATGATTTCGGCTGCACTTTGAACATGTATCAAGTTTCACAATACAATCGTATCTCGGTATGCCTCGACAATCAAAGCGGATATTTACGATTCAAAAATAGTCGCGTTTTTTTAAACAGTTAATTTTAAACACAAAACACATGAATAAATGAATGATTTTTTAGATACGTGCTATTTGAAATATCGATCTTTTGAATGTACGAGAAAAGAAAATAATAATTTATTTAATAGTTTATTTTAAATAGATTTAAAAAAGTTTTTAAATAAATTTTAATATATTCCAAAAACATACTTAAACCAGATTGTCAAAAACAAAAATAAGAAGATAGTTTTAGAGCATATAAATAATTCGGAAAACACAAAGACCGATATTCAAGAAGGAATTCGATTCCGCCGAATAACCGTTTCAAGGAAGTAGGTGCAGCCAGATAGAACGTTTAACTAACCATAGATAATGTGCTAAGATCCCATGCGCTCTTGGCCTGCTTTTGGTAGCCCTTCTTATTCTTTTTACCGGGTCTGCGTAAACTGGAGAACCATCCTGCGGCTATAGCAACGGCGCTAACATCTCGACGATTCTCTGTCTGGACGTTATTACCGCGAACTTCGTCGAGAGCGTCCACGGACCTGCCAGTGAAAATCATGCTTGACGCCGAGTTTACGTTGCCAAACTCCAAAAACCAATGGAATTCGTTGCACTCGATTCCCTTCACTTTGTTTGAATCGTGATACTTTCAGGAACAACCTAACCATACGTTCTGACAACATACGTTGCATATAACACTATAATCGTTTAATCTCAAGGGTGACATTGGTACTATATATTTTATCGTTAACCAATCAACACGCGACCAAGAATGATCGCTTATATCACAAGTAATTTCTTGTCGAAAGAAATGATGCATGAAATCGAAGATCTCAATAGTTCAATGATCCTGAACGAAAGATGCAATTTTTTTGAAAAAAATATCTTTCAATCGATCCACAATCAATAATTCCACTAACGTGTATTGAAAGTTACACATGATTAATAAATAAACATTTAAAATCCTGATTAGGATTTCACTTTTTCTTTCGCTTGAAGCAAAATATTAATTTTAAATAGAATTTTTTAATAAATCTTTTTTTATCACTTAACACTGATAAAACTCTGATTATAACTTACAATGATAACAATCAGATGAAATTAAGTATTTTTAGTATTTAATCTTCTCGCGCTTTAAAAATATTGTGTGATTAATTTTCTTATCACTAATTTTCCAATACAACAATAACGGAAAAAGTGTAATTTTGATCGGACAACGCTTTTGATATCAATTAATCGAGTTCCTGATATCAACAAAGAAAGAACGATCCGCCTCACACAGCGGCTGATGTGCAACTCATGAGCTAAAGTAAACGGTTGCGGTGGAAACGCACTGGCGCCTCGTGGTGGACGTAGCGTGAACTCAGCCACGCGTAATGCGAATACAGGCTAATTCTTGCAATTGGAACAACTTATAGCTTCCTTTCAAATAAAAATGTTAAGAAAAATAACATAGAAAATAATAAATCAGCTAATTTGATAAACTTGTACATATGATATAAAAGAATAAAAGTTTCATTATATATTAAGTATCATCGGTTTTTTTTAATATTATCTAAATAACAGAATATGCTGAATTAAAAAAATATTAAATGTGTTCAGTACTTAATAAACATAATGCAGTATAATAATGTGCAAATAAGTGAATACTTTATAATCATATTGAGACTTATTTTCCGAAATATCATAAAATGTTTATTTTTTTATCTGAAAACATATAAAGAAACTTAATTAAAAAAGTAATTTATATTTGAATCGGAATACAAATATAGATGCTTGCAAATGAAAAATGAATGAAGATCATGTTTTGCATAAATATACTTGCAAAAAAAATAAATTGATAAAACTTGAATTTTTCTGAATCAATTAGTTTTCATTTTTTTTTTTTTTGCATAGTGTTTTTTTTTTCACACTATGAAAATGAAATATGGATCGCAATTACAAGAATTAATATATCACGTTTACATTAGTCCATGTGAAATCAAACCAATTCTACATTTTATAGATGAAATACGATTTAAAAAGCATCGAATGCACGCGGAAAGTTCTCAATTGCAACATGCAATTTCTCCTCGTTTCGAAGAATTTCAAAAACGCAATTTCAATAATTTTAAGAATTTATAATTATAATATGATACATTTAATTGAATAACATGCTGAAAGATCAATATTTAAAGATAGATATTTTTTCTCATGAACTATATTTTTTTTCTGACATAATATTTAACTTTTATTTTATTTTCTTTAACTTTTATCAGTGAACAGTAAGTCTCCTAAAATCTATATATTAACTAATATTTTTATAAAAAAAAATAATGAAAAAAACAAATAAAATAAATATAAAAATATAAAAATTTTTATAAATATATAAATATAATTTTTGAAATATATATTATATATATGTACAAAATTTTTTTTATAATATTTAAATAAAAGAAAGTTTTACACATTATTTATAATTTTTTAATTATTCAAAATTATTTAAATATTGTTTGAAAGAATTTTTTGAATATAATATATTTTGAGTTAAAAAGTTATATTTTTCAAGTACTACTTGAAATAATGTAATCGGTTAAACTCAAAGGTCGAACTTCTACGGATGTTCAATTTGAGCATAGTATATATGTATAAGTTACAGCAAGTGGATACTTTAGCACGCATGCTTGCCAAGGATCGTGAAAAGAATGCTTCCGAGAACAGGGCAAGCTGAAATTTCGCCGACTGCTTATCAATTGACGGCATTCGAGTGTCGTGAAGGGCGTTGACAGGCCACAGTTCAATGTGACTATTTTATCTGGTTGTCCGAGCTTCTTATTTTATCCAACAAATTATTTTATCCAACTTTCGTGTACTTAATTGCTTCGCATATTCGTTTGAATGCTGAGTGAAAAGAATGATTTCATTTAAAGTTATACCTTATCGATCAGTCTTAATTATCTTAATTAAACAATTACAATTTTACAAATAATCATTATTTTGATTATATTAAGAAAAACAAATATCGAATAAAAATACTTTAATTAAAAAAAAAAGCGTTAACATAATGAGACAAACAAAATTCGATATATATAATAATTTATTCTAATAATAATAATTTATTCTTATTTAATTTATTTTTTAATTTATTCTAATTTAATTTATTCTTTATTCAAATTTATTCTAATAATAATAATGCAATAAAAATTTCTATAAAAATATTCGATATATTTTTTACTTTTCATTGTCTAATTTAATATCATATATTCATTAAATTAAATGTCAAATATAAAAAAAGTCTGATAAAAAATACCAAATTAAATAACAAAATAAAGTTCATTTAAATGAAGATTATTATTTCTTCGATTTGATTGGTTCAAAGGTCAATAATTTGCAAACTATGAAAATTATCGAAATTAATATTCATCTTAATAAAAGAAAAATGAAAATTCATAGTATTATTAGATATTATTAGGTATTATATTTTTCCAACAATTAGAAGTTAGTTATATTATTGATTAATGATTGGGAATTGGTGAAATCATACTAAAAATTACAAAAAATTGCATATATGTAGATCAAATAATCGATAACGATGTCAATTGAATTATAATATAAACACAAAAATCGTGTATTTTATTATTTTTCGAATGCCTATTCCATATGTAAATAAATACATCATTCTACTCTAATTTCATTTTCACGTCTGATAGATATCATCATGTTAAGCGAAACGGAACAGAGGGAGGAAGAATAATTACGAAAAAAATTTTTTGTTGCAGAAAAAAATTGAATTCCTTTCGCATGATTCACGATTGAAAACGAACGGAAGGAATGCTCAACTTTGTTCTCTTCTTTATCGGCTGATGATTCTCTTTTTCTCAATTCACGAATAAAAAATCGAACAAGATTATACGATCATCTTGCTATTACAGAATAATGAATATGCGTTTGTTCACATTTTCAACAATATTTTTGGAAAACGATTAGTTCGTGATTTGATCAGAGGATTTAAACGCGATTCAACAACATGTCATCGTTGCACCTGCTACAGCTGCATTGTGAACGAAGGATTAACCAGACGTGCACAAGTTTATCACGTGACGGTTACGCAAATATGCGCGCATGTTCCTTAAAACTTGTTCCGATTTATTTTGCTCTTCGCGCAATAGATTTTATCAAATTATGTGTATATTTGAATATATATATTTCAATAAAGTAAATATAAATAAAGTAAATATAGATTGCAAGAAATAAGAAAATATAACGGTTTTTTTATTAATATTAATTATAATAATTATATATATATAATATATAATTATATATATATATATATAATAAGTATACATAGTACATTTCAAAATATAC